GAAAAGCTCAGCAGGTCTGGCAGCATCTGTGAAGAAAAGTCAGAGTTAACATTTCAGGTCTGGTGAATTAACGTTTTGGGTCTGGTGACCCTTCCTCAGAACTTTCTGAGGAAGGATCACCAGACCCAAAATGTTAACTCTGACTTTTCTTCACAGATGCTGCCAGACCTGCTGAGCTTTTCCAGCAATTTCTGTTTTAGTACACACACACACTGCCTGTTTCAACTGAGCCAATTAGGAGACAACCTACTCTCTTATTCATTTCTCAGGGCAATGCCTTCACTCATCTGTCAACCTGCCTGAATTTAAATTTGAACAGATTGGCAGTTAATTATCGGTTATCATTGACAACTGCATTCTCTATGGCAATACTTCTTGCAATCACAGTCCATTTGCCAATTAAGGAACACTCTCCTGAAACAATATTGATGTTGAAATAAAACAAAAGAACTGCGGACACTGGAAAACTGAACCAGAAATAGAAAGTACTGAAGAAATGCAGTGGATCTGGCAGCATCTGACCCTTCATCAGAACTGTAAGCAAGTGGGAAGGGTGGCATTTATGCCAATGATGGGGTTGGGGGAAGGAGTGAACAGAATACCTAGAGATCGGAGGACAGAAAAAGGGGATTGCTGATGATAAGCTAATAGGGAGATAATGCTGAGTAGGATGCTAATGAGAAGTGTAACTGGTTGAAAATGGGTTGGCTTTGCTGGGAGAAACCCATAAAAAACAGTTCCTAGGAGTGTGGCGGCAGCTAATGTGGAGAAGGGTGTTCACATTGTTAAATTGTTAACAACACTGAAGGCTTTAAATACCTAGGTGGAAAGCAAGGTGCAGTTCCTTCAGCTTTCTTGAGTTTTGCTGGAACATTACAGCAGGCTCCAGAAGAAATGTTGGCATGGGAACACAATGATGTGTTGAATTGGCAGGCAAGTAGAAGTTCAGGGTCATTTTTAACAGACAGAGCATCGGTGTTTTGCAAAATGGTAACCCATCTGCGTTTCATCTCCCCAGTGAGGAAACCATATTGTGTGCAGCAAATATAGTAGACTAGATTGAAATGAAGTGCATGTAAATTGCTACTTCACCTGGAAGGTATGTCTGAGGCCTTGGATAGTGAGGACGGAGGAAATAAAAGGGTAAGTGTTGCATCTTTTGTGATTGCATGGGAAGATGCCGTAGGGTTGTGTGGAGAAGGAGTGGTCCAAGGTGTTCTCGAAGGAACGGTCCTTGCGGAATGCTGACAAGGGATGAAAATGTGTGCCTGGTGGTGGTATCCTCCTAGAGATGGCAGAAATAGCAGCTCATGATCCTTTGGATGTGAAAGCTAGTGGGGTGGAAAGTGAGGATCTTTTGACAGGGAGAAGGGAAAGGGTGAGGGTAAAAGAGCAGGAAATAGGTCAGACATGGCTGAGGACCCCAGTGACTATGGTGGCAGGGAATTCTCAGTGGAGGAAAAAGGTGACATTTCTGAGTTCCCCTTGCAGAACGTGGCATCATAACAAAGGCCATTCTTTTCCTACAATATTCAAATTTTGTACTGTCAAACGACTAAATATGATACTGGTCAGATAATCTGTTTTTGTGCTGTCCATTAAGAGACAAATACTGACCAGATCACCAGGGACATTGCTCCCCTTCTTCTCTTAAATAATACATCCACTTGACGGGCCCTAAGATAGCACCTCCAACAATGCAGCATACCCTCAGTACAGTACTGGCAATCAGTCTAGATTTTTGTATTCAAGTATTTTGGAATGGGAATTGAATGCACTCCAAAGGCGAGAATATCACCAAACTGTGCCAGGGCAGACACACCAAAATTGCCGGGCACTAGCACTGAGACAACTCAAGCAACCCCTTTCGAGGTATTTAGCTGGTAGCCAGCAAGACTCAAAAACAGCAGCAGCAGCGTTTCCCCCACGTGGGCAATGGGACCTTCAAGCGACACCCCGTCCTTTATCTCTTGCTCTTTCTATCGTACCTTAGTCCCTCCGAGCTGCCGTACGAGGTCCAGCGTGAACTCTTCGCCTGTACCCTCTCCATCACAACGTTGCGACTCGTCGCGATCCGCCCTTTCCTCTTCTTCGGAATTTTCCAGCAACGTCTCAGAATCCATCGCCACCGCCGCCATGTCGTTCATCGCTGCCCGTACGCATGCGCAGTCCAGGACCTGTCAAAGACATAAAATTAATTAATTTTTAAAAATTGAGCAAAAACGAATAAGAGCAAACATTCATAAGTAATAATAAATATTTTATACATATTTCCTGCTTATACCATGAAATATATATAAATGTCAATGTATTGATCATTGTTTATAGCATATGACCTGGAAGGAGTGAGGGGTGACAGGTCGACGGTGAAAGGTTGTGGCTTTGTCGATTGTTGTGAACCTCATGTCATTTACTGAGAATAGATGAGGGAATGATAAAACTGTATACGATGAGGTTCTTTTCTGGATTAAAACATTTTTGTAGAGGAGTTTCCTCCTATATTTCCAGAAAAGACTCTCCAGGTATTTCCTGTGCAGTAAATCCTCAGGTTGCCAAGTGATGACAGTTTTTCTTTCAGTCTCTCGTATTACTAGTTTGCATGTTATTTTTTTTAAAAAACTCCATGTGTTTAATTGCACTCGCATTAATGTTGCTGATCGTATGTATCATTCTGAATATTTGACTGTTATGGAAAGCTCAGGTTATATGTTTCCACTAAAAATGACGAGAGTTGTTTCAATCATGATCTTACCGTTGAAGGTTAGGTTAAGCAGAAATTGTCAGTTCTCCCAGCCTTAATACAAAAAATATCCCTTTCCTCGTACTTGAAATACAACAAAACTGATGATTTCTAGATTCTGATCTCTTTTAGTTGCTCAGATTGTGAGAAACAACTGTACTTAATGTACAGTTAAACTATTGCATTGGCTTAAATTGTCATGTTAGTAAAATGTTTGTTGTATTTGACTGGAACATTACTTCAATCATCTTTTCCATTTCTTGCAGATTGTGGACGATTATGGTCCAGCCAATGGATAAGATTATGTTCCAGAACATCAGACATTGTAAAAGAAAGCAATCAAGATAGTATGATGCTAAAGCACCTGATTTCAAAAATAAAATCAACAGGCCCGATTTCAGTAGCAGAATATATGAGAGAAGTTTTAACCAATCCTGTCACAGTATGTAACCCTCATTGACTGTTAAACATTGGTATCTTTGCAATGGCTGCTATTTTAATGCTACAAACTGGCCCACAAAAAAAAACTCTTACCTCAGAGTTATAATGTTGTGAATTTCACTCCTATTTTAGGACTTGAGCGCAAAAACATCAAGGCTAAACTCCAGTGGAGATAGTCCTGCAGTGTTGGAGGTGCCAAAATTCAAATAAAACATGTAAAAATCAAGTAATACAGGACCCTTGTGGCTTCTTGGGTAGATATAAAACGTATAGTGGCATTAATCTGAAGATGAATGGGGCCATTATTCCTCATCCTGAATCAACTTCACAACATGTGTCCATTATCAGATGGTTGTTTGTGAAATCTTGTTGTATACAAATTGACTGATGTATTTCTTAAATTACAGTGATTACACACCAAAATACTTTGTCAGCAATAAAGTGTTATGAGACATGCTGACAGTATGAAACGGTTTTGCTTTTTTTCTTTTTTTTTGGTTAGACTTGTATTGATAATTACTGAACAATCTTCTGCTCCTGCAATTAGCGTACTATATGTGAAAACATAATTATGTAATACATCAAAGGGTGTCTTTTAATGGGCATTATTAGCTGAAAATATTTGTAAAATCTATTCCAGGGATATTATCAACACAGGGATGTTCTAGGACCACAAGGAGACTTCATTACATCACCTGAAATTAGTCAGATATTTGGAGAAGTAAGTCTAACAGTGCATTGTATAATTGTTTTGCTTCTGTAGAACCCTGAAAAATCAAAAGCAAGAAAGCTATTTCCTTACTATTGCTTGTATAAAATAGATAAGGTAGCAGAATAATTTTGATTGTCATAAATCAGGATTTAATTGAATAATTTTAAAGTGTAACCTATTATAGGATGGCCAACAGCCTATGCATTACTAAAATTGACTGATACAAATCGTAACCATACTATGGTAGTCACAGCTATGATTTATGGTGAAGTGTGAATTTTCCTCCTGCTTCCTTTAATATCTCTAGACCAATACTGAGTTCATGAGATGAATGGCCAGTACTACTGTCCGGTCAACCAGTTGGATGTTTGTTCGAACAGTATTGAAAAGGACCCGTGCTTCAGCTTAGTTCATTTTCCTTTTATCCCACATCAAAGAAAGCTTTTACAAGATTGTTAAAATACTTTCTAAAGAGGATGTCAAAGCATGAAAGAGTGTTGGGTACTGATCCTTGAGCTAGATTCCAATTTTAATTGATATGGTGTGCCAAACTTTTAAAGTTTACCTAATATACATTGAAGTGTTTGATTGATATGGAGGGTACATTGCATAGTTAATAGGTAAGGCCACACTATTAAATTCACTGTAGTTAGTTAATTCCTGTATTTACATTGCACTAGTTAAATTAAACAGTTATCGTAAGTATTTTTTCTCCCCCATCCCAAGCTACTTGGAGTGTGGTGCGTAAGCGAGTGGATGGCTGCTGGTAAACCAAAAACATTTCAACTAGTAGAACTTGGGCCTGGCAGGGGTACTTTAGCAAGTGATGCTCTAAGGGTAAGATATCAATTATTTCTTGGTTTTATAACTTTTCAAACCTAAATACCAAAGTGTGAATTTTCTTATGATTATTTCTCTCTTGTCTCAAATGCATTTACACATTATGATAGAATATAGAATACTGGTTCTCCTTTTAGAATTTTCTTTAATTCACTCAAAGATTACACTGTTATGACTTAACCACGTTTGAAATTGTGAAAGTACTTGTAAAACTCCTACACTGGTAACTATTGTATTATTTCAAGAAAGAGTGAGGAAAGATATTTAACAGTTTAATTTCAGCATTCTCAAAGATATAATGCTCGTTGTTTTCATCATCACACTATCAATGTCAATGTCAATAAATTTAGCCAAGCTAAGATGACTTTTATGGATAATCCTTTTTTATTATTTAGTTAAATGCAATTTTTCAGATTTAAAGAATGCACATTTGAGACTTGGCATTTTCTTTCCTTCTTGCTATGAGGCATGAGGAATTTGTAAGTGTTGAAAAGTTCACTAATGGCAATGACATACGAAATCTCTTGCCTGTCTAAGAACAGTGCAAGAGTTGGTGACATTGTGGAAATCTATCACTATTCTTCTGTTAGGTTATTAAAAAAATATACATACAGAAAATGTTGACCACTGCCAAATTCAGAATGAGAGGGTCAAAATCATGTGGCAAATAACTCGCTTCTGATCCAACTCTCAAGCCATCATCTACATGATAAAGAGATAACAAGGTGTAGAGCTGGATGAACACAGGAGGCCAAGCCTGGTGTATTTTACCTCTTCTCACCCAACTTCCTGCAAAAATGCCATCCCATATTCCCAGTTCCTTCGCCTCCACCGCATCTGCTCCCAAGATGAGGCATTCCATCCCCGGACATCCCAGATGTCCTCGTTTTTCAAGCACCGTAACTTCCCCTCCGCAATGGTCGAAAACGCCCTCAACCGTGTCTCTCGCATTTCCTGCAACTCATCCCTCACACCCCCTCCCTACAATAACAACCAAAACAGAATCCCCCTTGTTCTCACGTACCACCCTACCAACCTCCGGATCCAACGCATCATCCTCCGGCACTTCTGCCATCTGCAATCTGACCCCACTACCAAAGACATTTTTCCCTCCCCACCCTTGTCTGCCTTCTGGAGGGACCACTCTCTCCATGACTCCCTTGTCCGCTCCACACTCCCCACCAGCCCCACCACCCCCGGCACTTTTCCCTGCAACTGCAGGAAGTGCTACACCTCCCCCCTCACCCCGATCCCAGGCCCCAAGAAGACCTTCCGCATCAAACAGATGTTCACCTGCACATCTGCTAATGTGGTGTACTGTATCCGCTGTTCCTGATGTGGCCTCCTCACATCGGGAAAACCAAGCGAAGGCTTGGAGACCGCTTTCTGGAACACCTACGCTCAGTTCGTGACAAATGACTGCACCTCCCAGTCGCGAACCATTTCAACTCTTCCTCCCACTCCTTGGATGACATGTCCATCCTGGGCCTCCTCCAGTGCCACAACGATGTCACCCGAAGGTTGCAGGAACAGCACCTCATATTTCGCTTGGAAACCCTGCAGTCCAATGGTATCAATGTGATCTTCACAAGCTTCAAAATCTCTCCTCCCCCGACCGCATCCCAAAACCAGCCCAGCTCATCCCTGCCTCCCTAACCTGTCCGTCCTTCCTTCCACCTATCCAGTCCTCCCACCTCAAGCCCAAGCCCCACCCCCACCTCCTACCTACCAGCCTCATCCTTGATCTGTCCGTCCTCCCTGGACTGACGTATCCCCACCCTAACTCCCCACCTACACTCACCTTTACTGGCTCCATCCCTGCCTCTTTGACCTGTCTGTCTCCTCTATGCCTATCTGCTCCTTTATCCATCTTCCATCTGCCTCCCCGCTCTCTTTATTTATTTCAGAATCCCCTTCCCCTCCCCCATTTCTGAAGAAGGGTCCAGACCCGAAACATCAGCTTTCCTGCTCCTCTGATGCTGCTTGGTCTGCTGTGTTCATCCAGCTCTACACCTTGTTATCTCAGATTCTCCAGCATCGGCAGTTCCCACTATCTCTCCTCATTTACATGATACAGTTTGACAATACTAATTGTTGTGATAGAAGAATTGTCCAATGAAGAAAGACTAAATTAACTGGGTCTGCATTCTTTGGAGTTTAGAAAAATGAGAGGTGATCTCATTCAAATGTACAAAATTTTTAGAGATTGACAGTGTAGATGGAAGAGAATGTTTCCACTGATTGATCCAGAATCAAGGCACGCTGCCTCAGATAGACCTTTTAGGATTGAGATGAGAATTTTTTTTTCCACTCAGTAAGTAATAATTCTTTGAGACAAGAACCAGGATGACACTACATGATCGGCAGCCATGAAGCCTCCAGCAGTAGAGTACTAGACTAAGGATGTGTATGTAACTTGCAATTACAGAGCAACATATCTGTTTTTCTGTTAAGTCAATTTTCAAATAAATTGAACAGATGCTCTTTACCAAACCAGAATGAGAGTGGTAGTTCTGTGGAAAAGAATAGAACACATGAATACAACATTTACCACCACAGAGTTTTCCCAAAATTATCCACTTCATGAGATTCCCAGAGCCCAGTGAAATCTTAAGGATTCTTCATTTTTAATGTGAAGCTCCAGTTTTTCTAAAGGAATTAGGGATAACAATAAATATTTAAATAGTGATGATAAAATGAAGGAAGGGACAAAATTATGGTGGGACGGTTAATAAATACACAATCTTTGTTTTATATTTTTGTAATACCTTTTAAATAAAGAGATTATTTGATTTGCTATTTATTTTAAATACACTTCTTATAGAAAACTTTTCATTTTAACAATTAACCTGTATTTATACAATTAGGTTTTCAGCCAACTTCATTCTGTGCTGAAGGAATCTGAGATTTCAGTGCATTTGGTTGAGGTGAGCCGTAAGCTTAGTGAAGTTCAAGCACAGCTTCTGACTGAAGGAGAGCACCATTTACTACACGATCCAAATGGTACAATTTATAAAACAGGTACGACCAAAACAGGATTTCCAGTCTCCTGGTACAAGGATCTACAGGATGTACCTAAAGGTAAGACCACTCAATAAATTAAGTAAAATAATGAAGAAGAAAAACTTCTAAAAAAAAAAAAACTTGCAACATAATGAAAGAAAATAGAAAAATTAAATGTCTGGGGCGTACTTTACCAAGGAAATGTGATGCCTGGGACATACCATAAACATCATCTTTGCAATGGCATATCTTAAACAGATCAAGTTGCTTCAGTATGCTCTAATTTACAAATTGTTCTGAAGTCTACCTACTTCATTTATTTTCATGAATTTGGTTATAGTTTTTATTTACTTCTTTTATTAGGTTCAAAATTGCTGCGTTTTCACAGTATCTTTACACATATATCCTGAAAATTAGATCCTCCGGCTATAATGGTGGTTTCAAGATCATTCTACTCTATTCTAATCATATACAGTTGACTGTGTACTTATAGTTTCCCATCCTTAACACGAAAATTTTCATCAGAATTGTGTTCTCACCTTTTAACCCTATCTATTATCAGCTGGATGGATGAGTCTAATTGCTTGTTTATTTGTAATTCAACAAGGTTAGAGAGAAAGATCATCCTTTTACTATAGAGATAGTAGGAACTGCCGATGCTGGAGTCTGAGATAACAAGGTATAGAGCTGGATGAACACAGCAGGCCAGGCAGCATCAGAGGAGCAGGAAAGTTGACGTTTCGGGCCTGGACCCTTTTTCAGAAGAAGAGTCTAGACCCAAAATGCCAGCTTTCCTGCTCCTCTGATGCTGCCTGGCCTGCTGTGTTCATCCA